AGAAAGATTAAAAATCAATTAATTATCTTAAGCAGGGAGACCCTGTTTCCCGTTTCTGACTTCCCCTGTTCGAAACAATCTTAAACTTTAAGCTGACTTGAATTTCCGAGTCCTACCAAATCCAATTTTTATTCAATTAACCGAACTATTGAGTAGAAGGATTGGATTATAAATTTATGTACAACAAAGGGACCAAAAAAACAATTTGACCTCAACATATGATGGTTAGTTAGTTTTAAGAAATATGTTCAAAAAGGGGACATTGTGTGAGGGACTCAAGACGCAAAAGAGAGCGTTGCTTAAGCGTGGGTTTTTGGGCTTCCCAACATCAATAGAATAAGGGGGTGTTTTGATAGGAGAGAATTTTTGTGCCAAGGGAATAGCTGCGTCTCCTCCAACGTGCCTTTGCCTTTCAATCTCCTCGAAACCTTCAGCTTTGCTGCTTTTTAGCAGTCATTGTGTTCAAGCCTGCCGTCCAATTTTTGACTCCATCTAGGCTTGTGCCCATCACAAACAAAGCCGGTTTTGGGGTTGGTTTTGTTTTGGCTGTTCGGTTGTGCCATAAAGACAAAAAAAATTTATGTCTACATGTTTCAGAGGTCATTAAAGGTCCCTAAAAATCTTAATTCAACTTGCTCGATGACGTAGGAATCGAACGAAACGACCTGGGTGGTAAAAGATGTATGCACGTTAAAAACCGTCTGGATCCTAATGCAAACTCCCCTACATTTCCCTTTTTTCAAGGCTCCTATCAGTCTCCTGGTATCGATTTGTTATGTTTATTAGTTAATTAACGAAGGGATTAAAGTAATGAAGTTGAGATAAAAAAAACTCCAAAGGAGAAATGGGAATGCTTAACAACATCCATTAATCTAAGGCTGAAAAGTGAAGACTCCACCATCCACGTTGTTGTTGTTGCCATTTGGTCTCAATTATAAGTTGTCGAGACGAGGAACTTGTCCATGTCATAGTTGTCGAGACCAAAGGCACACTCTCCACGCGGCACCCATTTTAGCAAATGCTGGATTTCTTTAGCCTTTTTTCTCTGTGTTGACGATTGACATCTAATCAACGCGCCATGTATCATCCATTTTGTTTAGTGTGGCTAAATGGTGTACTAGGAATATGATAATAATGAAGGGATTACATTAATTAAGTGCCAAGGACAATGTCTGGGTAATAATTGTTTGTACTTCTAATAGAGAATAAATAAATAGTATGAAATCATACATATGAGACTGTACAAACTCCAAATCTTTATGGCACATATAATGGATTACATTAATTAAGTGCCAAGGACAATGTCTGGGTAATAATTGTTTGTACTTCTAATAGAGAATAATTGATGTAACCGACCAAAGCTAAACAATAATGGGTACACCAATAATCATTTTGTCTAGTGGGATGAGGTATCAGATTTCTTAAGTAAGATCAGGGTTCTAATTATGACGATTACGGATTAAATAATTTTCATTGACTATATATGAAAAATATGTTAAATAAAAGTATTAGTTTATATTTTATTAACATTATTTAATAGCATTAATATAAATGTCTTAGTTTACTTATAATAAATAATAAATATTTAATTTAATTAAAATTCACGATTAAATTGAAATTAAATATGAATTATCATAAAATTAATTAGGATAAATTATACGTTTAGTACCTAAGCTATCAATTTTAGTATGTTTTAGTACCTAAATTTTCAACTTTTTTAAAACCATACCTAAAATTTAGTTTTTGTTTCATTTTAGTATCTCATTCAAAATTTAGGTTTTAAGGGAAAAAAATTGATAGCTTAGGTATTAAACATTATAAGTTTTTAACGACATATATTAAAATGAAACAAAAACTACACTGTAGGTTTAGTTTTGAAAATACTAAAAATTTAGGTACTAAAATAGATAAAACTAATAAATTAGATACTAAATGGATATTTTTCCCAATTAATTAATAAAAAATATACAGTCCATATTTAAAATATACAAAGGATGTTCTTGGAAATAGAAGTTAAAAAATGCTGAATTTGATGTGAAGCGTTTCACTTGAAGGTTAAAACACAAAGTGGTTTCACCCTATAATTTGGATGGGAGAAGAGAGATGGATTGACAAGTGGCACAGGTGATGTCATTTTTCACCATACCCTAGCCCTGAATTTGATGGTATTGCGCCCATCAAATCACAAGGTCCACCCTCCTTCACTTGTGAATCAAACTCTTTCCCTCTGTGACATCAGCACGGACGGTAAATAAATTATTATTATTATTCGAATATTTGAGTTTAAATATTAAGAATAGTAATAATATGAACGTTTAATATCAAATAATATAAGATTATTTATGGACATATATTATCTTTTAACCTTATTCCCACCTTCTAAACCATAATAATAATTGTTCAACTCAAGCAAATGAAAGCCAAATCACAGAGCAGTATTACCTAAGCAATCCTCTTAACAAGGAATTAAGATCAATGGGGGACTCAAATGTAATATATATGATTACTGGTATCACATTGCTTTCATGGTTAACTGACCCCTACATAGCCCCTGCTAACTCCATTATTACTGAACGCCAACTATAAGAAGAGCAATTTCCAACTTCGACCAAATGCATGCACTTGTAAGCAATCAGAAAAAAGAAAATCAATGTTTGCCTCTAAATGTTAAAAGGCTTTGGTCTAGTAACAGTCTACTTCTGGGAATTTGCTTGTACCTTTCTCGAGGTTTCCTTTCTTCCACATGAACAGTTCATTTGTAGAAGTCAACATCATTAAACTAACATGGTTATGCAGTCATTATCATCTATGCTTCCTCCTTTGAAATCTTGGACAAAGAGCAAAAGCAGATGAACCCTATTTATGTTCAAAGAGATTTTCACCAAAGGCACTAGAATCCAGAGCTGCTAACAAATGGTTGTTAACAGATTACATTTCCTTTTTCCTTGAAAGATTATATTTCATTCATTAATTAACATTTCCTTGAATTGAGTTAATTAGAATGGCAACTTTTAGGAATCCCCCTAAGTTGAAATAAATTATGCAATTTCTACAACATGATTAAGTCTAATGTTGAGGAGAGGATTACAATTGCAATATACAGAGATCACCACCCCATAAAGATTCTAAATCATTAGCCACATTTCTTCTATTGCATCAAATTTAAATCTTAACAGATTTCCTCGGCCTTTCGTAATCCATCAATGATGGAGGATCATCCAACCATTGTGCGCTTGCGACCCCTAAGCCGTACTGCAGTTCACTGTGAAACGACAAGAACACAATAAATCAGATTAGGGACGAGATAGATACAGGAGAAAAGGTCCTACTAAACTTAAAAAATGTAGTACCTTGAGCTAGCTTGTCCAATGTGGAACACCACTGCTTTGATGACTTCTTGTATGCAGCAAGTATGAGATCCATCTATACATCAATTTAAGCACCAATTAGATGATAAGGTTGACCCGAATGGCCCTTTCTAGGATCTCCAATCGGTTCCGAAATTGCTTATTTAAACTGACATGTAGAACCCAGAATTCACTGGGATTTTAACGAATCTACTACGATATGAAGGCTAATCTTCTAAAACACTGACATGTTCTTGCATACATGATGATTTCACATATAATGTGTTCATTATCAAACACAAGCTTCGAAGAAGAAGAAGAAGAAGAAAAGAAATGGTTGGTTTCTTACCACATTCCCACACGAAGAATGCATCGAAATCAGGGCTCGTTCAAGCACATACAAGTCAACAGCTTTGTCTTCTGGAAGCGTTGATGTAAAGCTCAGACCAAAGTCGATATGGACCAAAAGAAATTACAAAAAAAAAAAGGAAAACGGAAGGGTCCGTTTGAGATGATGCAAAAGGTAATTAACGTTGAAGCTAATGCAGAGACCCAAAGCTAATTTAAGAAAAATTAACTACTGACGAGCTTATTGGATTCATCTCTGATTAACATGTTTGACGTGATGAGGTCACCGTGAACAAGTCCACCGTCGTGGAGTTTGCCAATTGCGTCACCAATTTGGGTGGCTATATCGGCTAACCGTTCTTGAACGACGCCGTTTGACCCGAATCCGAGGAAAACGTCTTTAACGGAAGGGCCCTCCACGTACTCGAAAGTCGAGGTATGGAGCACGGGGTCGACGGAATAATGAACCGGAGTTGAAACGCCGAGCCGTCGAACCTTAGTCATGCACCTAGCTTCCTGCTCCGAACAAAAACAAAAGCACTGATTTTTATTCGATTGAACTAACCAAAAACAGGAGAAAATGGTTTGGGAGGGGAAAACGAACCGCGTTTAAGAGCTTGAGAGTGAGCTTAGAATCGAGAGAAGGGTGTCTGTATTTCTTGGAGAAACGTTCTTTGACGATGGACCTTTTTCCCGCGAATACTGACTCGAAAACTCTCTGTAAATGGGAAACAAAACAATGGAATAGAACATAAATCGGAACGTTCTTACTTTTTTGTATCTCAGAAACAAAAAGGGAACATTTTTGAACTTACAGCTTCAGCTCCTTGCTTAACCAGAAAGAGGGCGTCGTTTTCAGAACCAGTTTTGGGGTCGATCTCCATTAGGAAAGTGTACGTTACGGTGATCAGCAACGCAACAACGATATTCTTCGGTTAACTGACAAGTTTGAGACTTAGCAGGCGGCTGTAGCGTGGGACTCAGGAATTTGGCAGTTTTTCTTTTTTTTAATTAGGGTTCTGATTTTCTTTTGGGCCCTCAAATGGATAACAGATGAATTGGGATCTGCTCTCGAAACCCAAACGAAACGACATGACATATATAGATCCCAAAATCTCTAATTAGCGGTAAATGTTAGATCAAGTTGAGTCAAGTTAAAATGTTTAGAATTACATGAGTTAAGAAAATTTAAGTTATTCGAGTTGACGATTTTATCTCCCAATGTCCCATTTCAATAATCTTTTATCTCCATCGACATCTATACGGGTAAAAAGGGTATATATATAACATCTGGACCTTGACATACGTGATAAAAATACGGTCGTATTCATGTGCAGTATAGAAATCAATGACCTGTTCTCGAAATACCAGCTAGGAACCAAACAGTCAACTCTTTCATGTTCTCTGGGAACTAAAACATATGTACGGCAAAACAAATGAATGAGGCTAAAGTTTAATCACGGGCCACGACGGGTGAAACAGAAACAGCCAGGAGATTGGTCATCAGGTATCATGCCACCTCCCTTGCTCGTATCTACTGCTTCTAGCAGCCTCACCACCTCATCCATGTCAGGGCGTCTATCGGGGTGCCCGTCCCAGCATTTCCGCATGATGCCTGCTAATGATCCGGGGCAACACCTTGGAATCTCTGGTCGTAAATTCTACAACCAACGATATCCGATGTCGTTATCATGTATATACCATCAGAAAGTTCAACCGAAAGTATCAGAGGAAAGGGTAAAGATTCGAGTGCAAACGCCAAACGTCCACTGGTTTTGCCAGAAAGATTAGAACTTCGAATTAGATTACTCTATCAAATAGGTTTTAGAATTTTAACTCGTACCTGTGCTACTACAGCTGATGAGACTTCAGCAAAACTAAGATCAGCATAGGGCATATCACAGCAGTATATTTCCCACAAGCAAATTCCAAAACTGTAGACATCGCATTTCCTATTGTAAGGCTTCCCATCAAGGACCTGCAAGAACCAGTGAATTACGTTCTCATGCGGTTGATAAGAAAAGTTTGCGTCGTTGCGCTACTTATCGGATAAACAAATCATACGGTCAATGGAAGTCGAAGGAGTGGATACCTCTGGAGCCATGTAACCAAGGGTGCCTGTTTCCCCGGTCATATCTCTCGGATTCTGAGCTTCAACTCGAGCAACACCAAAATCAGCAATCTTCAAATTTCTACGAGAATCTAACAGCATATTTTCTGTCTTGACATCACGGTGTACAATCTTTTTGGAGTGAAGATAGCTCAAACTGCAGAAGTTGAACAAAACATATCCATTAGCTTTACAAAGACTAAAGGTTAGAAATCCTAATATACCTAAAACATTTACTCACCCTCTAGACAGGTCCAACGCAAGTTGAACCACCACCTTAAAGGCAAGTTTCTTCCTCCTGTTTCGGATCAAAAAATTCTTTAACGTTCCACCTGGAAGGTATTCGACAACAACACAACATGCTCTGGAAGGAAGAGAATTGTTAATCCCGCTTGTCGAGTCTTTGGACGGGATCTTAAGGTCGGAAGTTCCCATTGAAGCTCCAATAAACTGTAAAAAAAAAAAAAAACAAAAACTCATGATTTGAACATTGAAATTCAAAATAGTCAATTAAGTCATGATACTGCAATGGCAACAACAGTCATAACTCGTAACAATAGAAGAAGCTCCCCGGGGGGGTGGATAGAAAAGGCAGTGCCATTTTCCCGTGCTAACTAAATTATAAATTGGTTTTACCTTTGTAACATTCGGGTGATCAACCTTATGCCAAACAGCAACCTCCTGCCGGAAAGATGCACGAAGAGCGGCAGCTTCAGCGGCTGTGGCAATCCCATCCTCGCCCCAATCCAATACCTTCACTGCAAAAATTAAGAACCTTAAGAACCTCTTTGTAGTTAGGATATCAGGAAACCAGATGTTTGCTTAAGAACATCACAATTGCAGTGAAAAGCATGTTTTAGTATCAAATACGAGCACAATATAGGCTGCAAGTCATACAGAGTACATGATTCGACATTAGTGATTACCTCCCCTAGATACGTTCAAATCAAGCATCAGAAAGTAAATATGATATCAACATACTGCCATCTAAAGAACTCAGTATAGAGAAGCAATTCGGAGCAATAAGCCGTTCGAACCGAACAAAGGAAACCGACCCGAGGCTGCTGGTCCCTTTATCCAGAATTTCATAGCAGAAGCAAAATATTCATTGAAATCAAGATTAAAGTTTTGCAGTTTCAAAGCGAAAAGAAAAATTAGGTGCCATGGCATTCTCATTTGCACACAGAAAAAGAGCAAGTTATAATCAAACTTCAAGCACAAACTAATCTGTATTACACATATGACCCGACGCTATAATCAAACGTAAATATACGAATTCATCATCATCATCTGTTACAAGTTTGAAGTTTGAACAACTAAGAATTTGTATTTGAACCAATCAAGACAAGTCAAAAACAATAAATCGATGATGAACAAGATTACCTGCAACATCTTGGTTATCATAAACGCCACGATAGACAGTGCCATAAGTTCCATGAGCTATAACATGCCTGATATCGAGTTTAGACAAATCAATCTCCCACTCTTCCTTCTTCGTCACAGCTGAAACAATCCTGTCGCTGGACCAAGCCCTGCTCAAGTGCTTATCTAGTTGCAAATCCCAGCTCTTGAGATCTATCTTATCGGCTCTAGTAAACATGTCCTTGTTGTTGCTAACACTCCCTACGCAAGACCCCAAGGCCTTATCCCCTGTTTTCGCCACAGCTTTAGCCCCATCACCACCCTTGTCTGTCGCCATAACGATAAACAGATAGAACCCCCCCCCCCTTGACACACACACACACGAAATAAACACAAAAGAATTAGTCGAACAACGATGAATCGATCAAAAAAATCATACCTTTTGAGTCTGAAAAGGAGAGAAAAGGGAGGTGTGTATATTATATAAGGTATAAAGATGAGAAGATGAAGAAGGAAGAATGGGGTTTTTTATCAATAAACGGAGGGGTTTTCAACCTTACATAAATATGGAAAATCATTTAGAGCATATAGCATAGAATAGTATGACGTGTGTGTATATATGTATATATATTTTAAAATTCGACCGAAGAAAGGGATGAAAGGAAGAACAATGACCATTGTTAAGATTTTAAGTTTTAGTCAAAATCTAATCAATGAAATAAATAAGTTTTAGTGAAATAGTACTAGTTCTCCTTTAAAAATTGTATTAAACTTAATTAAGATAATTAGATTTATATAATTAGGGTAAAAGGGTAATTTTTCCTCTATAGTATACATAATTTATCACTTTTGCTCTTGTCGTATTTTCACATCAATTTAACCTTCTAAATTGTACAATTACATCATTATATACTTCACTCCTAACTTAAAACCCTAAATTATAAATTATAAACCTTAAACCATGACTCATGACCTCTAAACCATAAAACATAAACACTAAACCATAATTTAAGGTTTATAATTTAAGGTTTTAAGTTGGGAGTAAAGTATAAAATTATATAATTAAACAACTTTCAGGGTCAAATTGATGCAAAAATACGATAGGCGTAAAAATGATAAATTAGGTCTATGACAAGGACAAATGTGACCCTTAAACCTATCATTATTAAATAAGGGTATATGATGTAATTAGATGTAATTTATGTGTTTAATTTATATTTATAATTATGAAATATAAATTTATATTATTTTTAAATATTTTTTAAATTAAGCAATATCTTATAATAGATATTTATATAATATAATTCAAAATAATAATATATTCTTAATAATCTATAATAATTATAAATAATATTTGTTCGTAATTTATTTAATCAGTGATAACACAAATTCTATCGACATAGCTATTTCAACATAAAATTAAAAAAAATACTTCCTTTATACTATTAAGTGAATTCTCAAAATAATAACAAAAAATCAAATATAAACGATGATTAAAAATAAAGACAAAAAGACATTAAAACTTTTTGTATTTTTTTTTTAAAAAAGCAATGTGACACTTGTATTATTTTTTTAATGTGACCCTCCCATTAAAAAAAGTTAAATGTGACTATTTGACTAACAGTTTTTATCATTTGAGCGTTACGATGTTGATGTAATAGTCAACTATGATTAATAAGGTGAATGATAACATGACAAATGAGCTAAATTAGTAATTCCAACATGACATGCGAACTATCACGCCAGTATCATAAATTGTCATGTCTATAATGAGATTATCATGTCAACGGTGCGAATAACCAAACATTGAAAAAAATAATATGAAAATGGTTGTCCCTTTTTCCCATATGTATGGGGTAAGGGGGAGGTAAGATAATAGGCTACCCCCGTTGAGAGCAGCTTCCGTAAGAGACCTCCGAATTATGAAATACCCTCCGTAGAATTCGATCCCACGACCTCAAGGTTAAGAACCTTGTGCTCTACCAACTGAGCTGAATGGTCATTTTGAAAAAAAAAATATATATAATGAGCTGTTATGATTTTTTTAAAATAAGCCGTACTCATTGTATCCAATGCCATGTGCACACGTGTAGCGTTACAGCGTATTTCAGCAAGAGAAAAGAAAAATCAAAGCAAACACATTCCATTGTTGACGTCAAACGATAATAATAATTATTTGTGCGAGAAAATAACCTTAGTAATAAAAAATGTCTTATAATATACGATTTTAATCAATTTTTTTTTGATTTGTCAAAATGACTAACTAAATCGCAATGCGATCGATAATTCGCAACGCGATCTCCGGTACCGCAAATCAGTTTCTAGATTCGTAACGCGAACTTCGACTATCGCAACGCGAACTTGGACCATCGCAATGCGATTGCGATAGCCCAAGTTCGCGTTGCGATTTTCCAAATTCGCGTTGCGATTTATTCAAAATTCGCAACGACTGTTGGTATTGCATTTGTTTCTTAAGAATTTTCTCTAAAAAGATAATATTTGTGCGGACGTGTCGAAGACACGTATTACCACGACCACGACCACGGACGGCGGCGGCGGCGGCGCGCGAGAGTACCCCTTGTTCTCTATCACTCAACAAGGAAGTGGGAAAGCCAAGCCTTAAATAACATTCCCAGTAGTGTTTCCAATACTATGTGGGATTGAGCATTACCAACACTTGTTTCCAATACAATGTGATTATTCGGGAAACAATTAACAATCATGCACCTTAAAACAACTGAATCAGCAACCAATTGCATTAGTATTATACGATTAAATATGTCATAATTAAAAGTCAATCTATAATCAATCGCGATTATTGCAATTTTAAGCAAAACATTCAAAAATAATATCACTATTTAAGGCTCAATCCCACATAGTATTGGGAACAAGTGTTGGTAATGCTCAATCTCACATAGTATTGGAAACACTATTGAGAATGTTATTTAAGGCTTGGCTTTCCCACTTCCTTGTTGAGTGATAGTCGAAGTTCGCGTTGCGATAGTCCAAAATCGCAACGAATTTGGAATAAATCGCAACGCGAACTTCGACTATCGCAACGAATTTGGAAAATCGCAACGAATTTGGAAAATCGCAACGAATTTGGAAAATCGCAACGAATTTGGAAAATCGCAACGCGAACTTCGACTATCGCAATGCGATAGTCGAAGTTCTCGTTGCGAATCTGGAAACTAATTTACGATACCGGAGATCGCGTTGCGAATTATCGATCGCATTGCGATTTAGTTGGTCATTTTGACAAATCCAAAAAAAGTTGGTTAAAATCGTATATTATAAGACATTTTTTGTCACTGATGTTATTTTCTCTTATTTGTGCTAATATTATTCCCCTTTTACGTTCTTTCTTAATTTATTAAAAAAACTAACAACTATTTAATTTAGTAAGATAAGATATTAGATCGTTTAAATAAAAGTTAAAGATTCAAATTTTGATGTATATGAATATAGTAAATTGGGTTGAGAATGTCACTTTTATTTTTATATATTCGATCTAAATTGATCGATTAATCAATGCAGTTATAGAAAGAACACAAAAATTAGTCTAGCTTAGTTGACTTTTTCACATCAGTATTTGATTAAATTGGAATGGGAATAGTAAATACCGTGTCGTGCCGTTGTCCTTTGTAGGGTCCTTTGAATTGAAGTAATCGTTGACTGATCGATTGGTGCGTGACAATTCGCTTTTACTTTTAATTTTATGCGTTTGATAATTGTTTTTCTTTATTATTTATAACTATCGATATTTAATTTATTAATTGATTAATTTGAATCGGGTACTGTAAATATAAGGACGATTTTTTTAACCTAATTTGTTTCATTGGCAATCGCCATGATTCAAACTCGTGACCTTACTTAAAGAATTTAGTGTCTCATTCCACTAAATCATCTATTTTTTTTTTGTATTAGGAAGTGTCCTCAAACAAAGAAATTAAAAATGAACGGTTTTATAATATAAAAGTCTCAATATATCTATTGAAACAAACGATTGGATGTCGAAAATACAAAGTTAGATAATGAAACTCAATAATGATGAACGGATATTTTCGTTAGTTGGCCAACCATCATATTACTTTCTAAAAATATAAAACAAGAAATATTAAACACTTATTTTTAATGAAAAGCTCTTTAAACACGTAAAATTAACTATAGATATAATCTAAACACTTATTGTTTTAATTAAGTCTAAAAATTAACATGCTGGGATTTTCTTTGCCAGAATAATGCCTCTTCCACTTTCTTCCTACTTCAAACTGTTCAAAACTTTGAATATATTTTACGGTTATTATTCCATATATCAGTTGTTTTAAATTAATTTTCTTTAGTTTATTTATTTCTAAGTACGAATCTAAATTTTCAAAGGCTCTTACACATTGGCAATGACTTTTATTATTATTAGTCAAAGGATGTGTGTGGACGTGAACGAGCAGTGCCAATGTGACTTTGAATTAGGACCCCTAATCAAACTCATGGTTTGGGATAAGCCACGCGCATTGTAATGTTCAAGATTTAGAGGTTTTTTTAGATTACTTTAGGAGGATTATAAGTGAAATATTAGTTTTAAAAATGTTTAATTATTCAATAATATACGTTTAAATACATTGTAGTTTGATATTCGAACCTGAAATTTATAAGATAGATATTAATTAATAAGCTGACACCCCCAAAATAATAACAATATATACACAATGGGCTAATTTTTTACTGTAACGATGTGGGAAAAAATTGCTTGAATAAAAACGAACTAAAATTATTTATTTGAATAATCCATGTGCCACACTAACCCCTAGATCGCAAGGAACCTCTGTTTTGAAAATCGGATTGGACCGGTCGGTTCAATCGAAAATCGTTGCTTAGTCTGGTTTAATCTAAACCGGTTGAATCGCTATTAGTAAACCGGCCAGAACCGCTGAATCGTTCGAACCGGACCGACTGAAAATCGGAAAAAACCGGGAAAAACCGGGATTTTAATTTTTTTTTAAAAAAAATTAAACCAAACAACGTCGTTTGTTAAACGAGCCAAGTCGAACTCGAGTATTGCTGAGCTCGACTCGAACTTGAAAACTTTAAAAGTAAGCTCAATTCAACTCAAACTCACAAGCTAAAAATTATCAAGTTAAACTCAAATTCGAAATATAATATTGAAACTTGAACTAAAAAATGCTTGAACTCAAAAAAAATTAGAAGCTCGATTGAAACCTAAAATTCGAGCTTGATTTAAGTGAAAAAATAGTTATATAATTATAGTTATATAATTTTGTTATGATTTTTTTAACCTCAAATTTATTTTTTAATTATAGTTATATAATTATATTTATTATTTAATATGTTTTACCTTAAATATTATGTTGTAGTTAATTTGAATCATTTTGTTCCACTTGATTTTATGATTTTTAACTTATATATGTTATGACTTGCTTTGAATATGACTTGTGATATAAAAAATTATTTTTTATTAAATATTTTTAGTATTTTTATTTAATTTTTTAAATAATTATGACGTCGTTCGGTTCTTT